CTGGAACAGGGTGCCCAGGGAGGTTGTGGAGTCTCCTTCTCTGGAGATATTCAAGACCCGCCTGGACAAGGTCCTCTACAGCCTGCTGTAGGTGACCCTGCTTCGGCAGGAGGGTTGGACTAGATGACCCACAGAGGTCCCTTCCAACCCCTACCACTCTGTGATTCTGTGACACAGGAAAATCTGTGCTAATTCTACGTGGGCTGATTTGTTGCACCCCGTTGCGATTTTCTTTCATAGCTGCAGAAGGATTATTGAGGAGAGTTGGTGAGGAGCAGCTCCTGACAGCCCGCACATATTTTTCCACTGAGATGAAAAATTACCTTATGAAGAGGCCTCAGACTATTCTGAAGACACAGGATTGTGTTCTAGCCTCTCGCTGTGCCATCCAGCATTTGCGATGGCAGGGAAGAATCCAGACTGCCCATGGGGATTGTCTGCCCTTTCCTTCCTGTGAGGTGAGCGGAGAGAAGCAGGACTGACTGAGACTGCCTACCAGTGCCTTGCTTTCTCTTTGCTGACTGCAAGGAGGAGCAGCATCTGGCCAGGTATGGAGTCAGTCTTTCTGTCTTGAATGTGCCTGCCGGCACAGACGTGCAGAGCCACCTTAGCGCCTGTAATACAGGATTGGGAGATAGGCATCTAAAATGATGTTGTCAGCTTTTGGGGAATGCAAACCTGAAGGTGTTAACCCAGAATTGTGCCCCTTCCTCTTCACCATCCCCACCCCCCCAAATTAGCTGAGCTGAGGGATCATAAACTGTCAAGTTCTACCTGCCATGTGCCAAAACTGCTCAAGAATTTAAAAGCAGACAATTCTTGGGGGTTGAAACCTGATCTTCTGAAGTCATCATCATTACTGTGAGGCAAAAAAAAAATATCTATTTTTCTATTTCAGTAGGGTTTCTTCTCAAAGGTAGCAAAGCTTGTTTTGTAATAACACTGTGGAGACGACATTGTTGCGTGCCAAGGGCAAAGTCTGGTGGATTTGAAAGCTTGATTGATAGGAAAAAGATGATAATGAATAACCACTTATCAAGGCTCCGGGGAGATTAATCTGGATGTGTGCTCAAGGTACCGGTAACAAAATCAGTGTATGCGTTTTAGCTGACGATCTGGAAGAGAAAACATAGGGTGCGTTGGCGTGGTTTCTGTTGACATCAAGAACCTGGCTTTGTAAGGTCCTGATCGGAGTGCAAAGGAGGGAAGTACAACATCTGCTTATCTCCTGTGAAACCAGAATGCCTTTTAGCCGTGAGTAAAGTTGCTGATGTCGGTGAACCTTTGACACACTGGAAGCAAGCTGGTCCCGGTACTGCCAGTGCTTCGCTGAATCAGGAGCTGGGTGCGCGGTCTTTGTCACTCACTGGGTTTGTATGGGGGAAGGAAAAAAAAAAACATTTCAACTTCTGGCACCTTCTGGACTGCAGGAGACTGGCTGGAACCAATGGCCTGCCAGCAGCGTGCTGCGGGGAGACGGCGCCTTGCCGGCTGGGGCCACATGCTGTACACGGAGCTGCACAGCGAGCAAGGCACATCCCTGCCGCCCTGCTCCCATGTGCGGTGTGGGTGTCTCCAGAGCCTGCCGTGGGTGAGGTAGAGAGTCCAGTTCTACGTGTTTCTGCTTGGAAAAACCTGAGGTGATGCACGCTAGTCCTGTCTGTAGGGGCTGCAAGACAGTAGAGGTCGATGCGGAACAGAAAACATAATGGGTGCTTCTGTGGTTGGTTTTGTTTTCTGTAGAAGCTTGTAACAGTCCCAGGTGCACTTGAGTTCTGGGCTGTTTCTCCCAACACACCTGACATACTGGTCTATGTAGGAATGGTACATTTCTGTAATGTCAAAACTCTTAAGTTTTCACCATCTGATCCGCTTCCCTGGGATTACAGGCAAAAACACTTCGTTAAGAAGGGAAGCTCAGCACACAAGGGGATCATTTGTAGACTTACAGTCAGACACCCAGGGTCAGGCTGTTTTTCACCTCTTCAGGTGAAGTACCTACACAAATTTTCAGTTACACATTTTCAGTTACTTTATCTTCTTAAAGTTAAGGGAGATCCAGGACGTTCCCAGGCACAAGTCCACTAAAGCACCAGTTGTTTACGACTGTTTTATCACAGCACAGTCTGTTCTGCCTGATAACCACCATTCTCTTATAACCAGCTATTAAAAGCCAACTTTCCCATTGCCTCAGAGCTGGAAGAGAGGCTTTAGCTTTTCTACAGGCTAAAGTTGATTGTTAAATATAGACTTGATGATGGCTTTTTTTTTATATAAATAAAACTAAAGCTGATGGTGAATTTTCACATTTTTACAGCTGAACAGCAAAGAGACATTTTAGAGGGTAGAACATGCACTGATGAAGGATTCTCAGTTCTCATCTCTGAAGATGAATGCTACACTAATTAGAAAGATGAGGGTCATGCACTGATTTTAGGCACTACATAAACTCTCAGCAGATGCAACATTAAGCGTAAGTAGACTGTTGTTTCAGTTATTTCTCTTCCCTGCTTCATCTATTTGACACAATATGAAAATTGCTTTGCTCAACTCCATTTGATAAGACTCAAAATAAAAAAGCCCCTTGCTTGCACTAGTTTCTTAGAAGTAGAAAATAAATATACTAGACAACCATTTAGAAGATTTTATTATAAAATTATTTCAACATCTACATCCAAGTAAAAAGCTTGAAATTACAGCTCTACTTTCAGGAATAAAAATTCACTAAAGGCTGAAAAAGTTACTGTATGATCTAGGTAGATAGCCCTTATGTGATTTCCCATACTATAGCGGCTCCATGTGGGTTGCTTAAGTGCTGTACATACCTCTGTCTGCATTGTGAATGTGTCTGCACCTTCTTTCTGCAAGCAAGATCACACACGTGTTATAGCACCCGTGTGCTTCAGCTGCTTTGAGACAGAAGTTACAGCTCCTACCTGGAGTAGCTGCAGCCATGTTATAGACATACAGTGTATCATGAGATCATAACTCATGTTCAAGCATTACCAGGCGCAGACAGAGGTGTAATTTGTGTTTACGTGACAACAATGACTACCTAAGGTGTGTTTTTGTGACCTTGCATTAAATACAAAAAAAAAAAAATCAACAAATATTCAAGTATATTACAGCAGTGAAGGCAACTTTTCCACACCTGTATTTTCTATACAAAAATATTTTGGTTTTGTTATGCATTTCATTCACTGGGCGGAGCTCAGATACATGATCTGGCAACCTTTGGTGACTGCAGCTTATCCACTGGGATAAAACCAGCCTTGAGACAGTACTGAAGTTGTTCTGTTAAATAACTATCACCAATACTTCTAAATTTAGTTTTTAAAAGAAGCATATCAGAATGTTATTTTATTTTTGATTGAGAATCTATCCCAACAGAACTTCTAGAACACAAAGGCAGTTCCAGCTTTCTCACATTCCTATTAAAAAAATATTTTACCTTCTCAGTAGAGTATGGAGTGGCTTTCTGTCCAACAAATACAAATCTGTTTTAGAAAACTCATACAATGGAGCAGGATGCTTTAAATATTGAATTTGCAACTTCTTGCAAAGGATCACATACATTTAAGATAATATGCTGATCAGTAAAAAAAGTCAAGTAATATTATACATCCCTGATGAACTTTGACTGGCCAGTTTGTCAATGTCCAATAGTTTAACTTCTGTTCTGTTACATTTACCTTGCTTACACATGGGAAAATGCACAAAGACGACGGGAAAGGAAGAAGCTTATTGAGACTGGAGTTTTTTTCCAACAGCTCTCCCACTGCCACTGTTCCTGTGACAACTCCCCATTATTTTGCTCTTCATAAAAGTTATTCTGTAGTTGTCAGTGCTGTTCATATTTTGAAGCTTCTCATTTCCTAAGCCCTTTCCATTGCAATGAACAGTTCTTAGAATAAAATTCTAGTTCCGGCAGCCCTCTTCCTGAAAACCTTTCCAACAGACCTTCTCAGTGCTCCTCACACCTTTCCTGGTGTAGAATCCCCATGTACCTCTGAGCTAGCGTGGTCCAATACAAATTTGACAAAGATGACTGATAGGCACATTTTGGTTTAGTGTACTGAGCCACTAGTCTAAGAGCATGACAAACACAAACCACCAGACCATGTTTTCAATATGCCATTTCCCACATCATGCTTATGTAATACAGATCACCAAAACCTTTCAATTCAACTTGGATGTCTGGCTTTGGTTCTTACAAAATCCTAACCGACTCACTTGGCACATGCTTTCTGGAGTGCAGGGATGTGGGCTAGATGTAGCCCACCCTTAAAGCTGCTATAACCAAGTAGCTTTCCATTTCTCTCCAGTAGCTTTCTAAAATATCCTGTTTTCCTTCTTAGTTACCTTATGCATAGAAGCCTTCTTTGGCTAGTTTTTCCATGAACAGCTTAACATAAAAATATATTGAAATATATATTGAAAACGCTTCCTTGCTACCTCCCAGGGCTCCCCTGCCCCCCAGTCAGTCTGTATTTGAGTGCTGTTTGTATCTCGCCAGAAGACTGCCATGTTAAGTGGTTCTTTTCCAAACGTTATAAATACAGCTTTAAGTACAGGTGTTACCTATCTACCTGAGAAGTTCTGTAATAAGATGAACCACTGATAACTATTCTAGGAGAAAAATATACACCACCATAACTCATGTTCGTCAGCATTCAGAATTCAAGCATTAAACAGGACTCAAAAAACTGCACACCTCTACCACATCCAGTCTTTGATCATACGAAAAAAATAGTCTGATTTTCCTCTACACACACCTCTTCTTTAAAGACATACGCGCTCCTGTTTTCCTCATCCTGAAGTCCACAGTAAGACTGCACATTCGGTGCATACAGCCCAGGCTGTAACATCCTTGTCTTCTTTCTCTTCTGCCAGTCCTGGAACTGAAGAATTTGCTTGTCTGGAGGTAGATGAATGCTTCCAAACACTCGTCTTTGAGAAGCCAGCTTGATCCCGTTGGGTGCCTGGATACCAGCTTCTCTTCAGAGAGCTGCACTCTGCTTTGATACATTCTTTGGGTCTCTACTTGGGACACACCAGTCATCCGCCTCTGAGGTAGCCTGGTAATGCTTGGAAGCTGATTTGTTGAAAACTGGGAGTTTTTCTACTGATTCTGTTGACAGGGCCTAAAAATCAAGAAGGAAAAGAGTTACTTTGTTTCCACCTCCCAATAATGCCAATTTGCAAAAATTCAGGCAGTGTTCAAGTGTTAAGCCAGCGACACTACAAAATAAAGTTGTTTGCATAAATGTTTCTACAATAGATGTAGCAGTTTATGTGCTTCAGTATCTATGTTTGTTTTGGGTAATTTGGCAGGATAAATGCAGTAACATCAAATCATATTTACACATTTTTATAGGCCTTAAGAGTTACCCTGTTACCTGTTTTTAAGATAGTCCTGGAACTGTGCAAAAGAACTTTCATTTACAAAATTCCAGAGAAAGTTTAAAATATGTTCCTTCCCTACTTCCATATTTTGCAGCTAGAAGACAATCTTATGCTGTTGGGAAATTGTTAAATAGAAATGCAACATATATACAGCTGAACTGTCTCTTCCTCTTGTCTGCTTCTCTGGTTGTGCTTCAGTGTGCCTGGAACTATGTTTTTGGTTTATGAGAAGAAATTCAAAGCAAGTTTTTCCCATGAGTAAGCACGAGAAGTAGAAAAGAATATGTAGTCCTTTTTTCCAGATTACTTCTAAAAACAGCACTGCATGTTATATGCCAGGTATTAAATATTAGTGATATCTGAATCCCATATATGGGCTATATGGGAGATGTTGAATAGGACCAAGTACTAGGGTCCTAGACTCTTTAAGGATTAGTTTATACAGACTTTCCGGTTGTCACAGTAAAGAAACAACAGTAAAGAAACCAGATTTGTTGCTTACACCTTTCTGTTTCTGTTACTTCACTTTCTCCCAGTACTCTGTATTCCATGAACCAATAGGTAACAAATCTTAAGACAATCTAAAAACTAACAGGGCTCTCGCTTGTAGTTATTCAAGTAGACTAGTTAAAGCCAAGTGACCTTTTTAATTCTAGATGCAATTACAAATCTTGGTGGCATTTCTTAATAAAAATGAGTGCTTTTAAAAGTGTCACTTAATAAAAAAATAGAGCTTTTCTACTTACAAGCAAAGAATTTGTTTCCCTTAAAACGATACCAAGTAGCTACCTCACTGCATTAATAGTAGTTATCTTTTATTTAACCAAAGAAAAATACATACCTTCAAGTAGATAATAGCGTCTGTTCCATAACCACATATGGAGTAGAGATTTATATCTCCTTGAAAGTATTTAGCATAAAGACGAGAAATTGGCAAGCCATAGCCAAAGCCAGCCTAAAAATGAAGTACAAGACAAAATTAATTTATTTTGTTACTAGCTCTTATGACTTAAAATTAAATAGCTGATAGTGTTTAAAAATTTTAAACTAAGTCCTTTGCACTTCCTCTTCTCTTAAGAGAAAACAAATCTCTGGCCAGTTTCGGACAGAATATTGAATTTGACCATTAAAAAAAACCTCAAAATACAAGAAAGAAAAAACCTTCGTGGCAGAGGGAGGGTTTATATATACATCTTACTTTTACACATTACATTGCTGTATTTTCCCTGCCCTGTTATTGCTAGTACAGCTTGATTCGTAAAAAGAGTTTGCTGCTGGTAGATATAGTCCAAGCCCATTGCAGTTGTGCTTGCCTCCATGAAGATAGCTAGCACAATTTATAAGTTTGAAGACTGAGTTGGAGTGAAGACCAAGAAAGTTAGTGTCATTTGACCATAAGAAAAAAACAGGGTTAGATTCAGGTTGCAATGTTCTTTATGTCTTTAAAAATCTATTTCCATCCACTCAGCTAGATATTTAAAACTGTTTCAGAACGTGTTAAGTCACATTTATGAGGCTCTAACCTCTGCATACCCCAGAAAGCAGTAGGGTGGACACAATGTTTCATTATTTATTAACCTACTAATCTGTCCAACACTTACATTACTAATAAGGTTTCTGTAAGTATTGAAAATATCTTACAAGAGGGGTATTTCGACCATCATCCATCCTCGGCCTTGGTGCTGTGGAATACATGTAGCTGAACAGCTGCTCAATTCTCCTTACTGGAACACCACCTCCTCTGTCTGAGATCTGATATTATAGAGAATAAAGTTAGTTGCAATCATGTAGTAAGAATGGTAATGAAAATGCTGTTATTTGAACAAACCCTTCCAGTATTAATAAATACAAAAATTAGTTTTGCAGCATATTATTTTTCAATTAGCCTCCGTTTAGCCCAATTATTTATCAACAGAAGGCTCATGCGTAGTAACTTTGATCTGTTGTCAGAGGCTGCAAGGTCTTTTAATAGAATTTGCTGCAGCATATGCAATCATAAAGACTACATTAAGCCCATATTGTAGTAGGCCAACAAAATACCTTAATTGACAGGTCTTCTTGTCCTAGAACAACTGTCACGTCAATTGGAGAAAGGGAAGGATTGTTTTCTTGGAATTCAACAGTTGCCCTCATTGAATTCTATGGAAATGAAGGTTGCCATCATCAGAAAATGTTGTATCTATGCACTTGAAGTCATACCCCTGGTATGCAGAGGCTGACCACAGTTACCCTCCATTCCTACCATCACCCAGCTTCCAAGGCACACACTCAGCCATTTAGTGTAACAGGAGCAGAGGAGATCTTGCACCTACAAGTGACTAAGCACAGCCAGGACTCTTCTGTGCTTGAACAACTACACTGTTCTTGCCCAACATACAACCCAGCCAGTGTAAATTAAATAACTCCCTTAAAAGTCACCAAGTTTCTGGAGCAGAGTTCAGCAGCTGCTCAAGGCTGCCAAAATTCTGAACCCCATGTTGGCAGCACATTAGTTCAGTTCCATTCACTACTTCAAGATGGATCACTCACTTCACGGGAAAGGCACTAGGGCAAACCTGCACTACAGGTGTAACCCCTAAAAGCAGAAGGTTAGTCCCACTTTCTCTCTCTCCCTTACCCTGTTCCATTTACACCACATGAGAATGTCCAAATACTGTCCTACAAATTGCAGTCACTCCTTTCCCAACTGCCAAAGCTATTCCCCAAATAACAAAATTTTAGAAATCTCAGTGTCCTATGCAAAGGTTTACTTCATTCAGATCTAGCATATTCACACTCTAGCTCTGACTACTAAGCGAAGAAACAACTTATACTGACATACCTTGAAGAGCTCAAAAAGCATGTGAAAAAGATGAGACGGAACATACACAATGTTAATTGGCTCTCCTGGAAATTTCTGACTACTAAGCGAAGAAACAACTTATACTGACATACCTTGAAGAGCTCAAAAAGCATGTGAAAAAGATGAGACGGAACATACACAATGTTAATTGGCTCCCCTGGAAATTTTCCTAGAGGAAGGGAAAGAAACGAGCAAGATTTGAGAGAGAGACAGAATTTTTCTGTATTGTATCCAAATTTTACAATAAGCAAGCTGTATGCCAGAACAAACAAGGAAATAAATCAAGTCTTAGTTTTTTTCCCCTCCAAATGAGCAAACAACTTTATGCACTCATAACAGTGTTTACATTGTAATTACCACTTGCTTAATAACAGTTTATTTTCAAACAAACAAACAAAAAAATCAAGTATTAATTTTATTTAATAGTTAAAGGATTTTAGAGGTTAAGCAGATTGCCCAAGATTAAACCCATGCAGGCAGTTTGGACCATAATCTGCATTTCAAGTCAGCAGCCCCACTTCCTCACACCAGAAGAGCTCCTCTCTAGCAAATTATCCTGTTACTTTAAGTACAGGCTAGTCTTACTTCTCTCAAATTCGTAAATATTGCCTCAGGACATCTAGTGCTTAAGACAGAACTCAGATGTCATTGTAACACAGGAGATGAAATGAGGTGCTTATACCAGAAAATGAAGAGGCACTGGCCCAAGACAGAGCCACTGGTATGTACCATTATGGCTACAGGAACGGGAGCCTTTTGAGTCAGCGAAAGCAGCAGTTCGGCTACCGATCGGAAGGCGGACATAAAAGCTCACATCTTACCATTCACTTGATTAAGTTTCAGCTCTGGAGATGTTAAGTAATACTGGTCACACAACATCTTGGAACTTGCAAAAGCATCTGAAATATTTATTTAAATAAAATATGTGAAAGGTAGTATCAAACACTGTAGAAATTCATTCTAATGCATGGCAAAATATGATTTTTAACAGCATTAGCTGCCAAGGTGTTACAGACTAAGCCTGTGTTTCAAAGGAATAAAAACACTGCATCTGCTGTGTACATTAAAAACTGAGGATACATAGGCAATTACAGCAGCATGGGCAAATGTTCAGTACAATTTGTTAATTCTGTGAAGCAGATGCATCTAACAGTAGGTAAGGCCAATCTCAACACCATAGATAACTTCAATTCCTAGCTCATCTGTCACTTGATAGGCCTTATTCTGACACATCTTTTACAGCTGCTTTGTATTTTAAACTCTGTCCTATAAAAGCATGTGCTTTGATACACTGCTTTCAGCCATTTCAGTAAAATGAAAGTCAGCATCCTATACAACACATGCTGGTTACCCAAACTGCTTGCAAGCAGATATAAATACTGGTCACTAAGAGAAATGTTACTGGGACTGAGAATACATACCATTCACTACTTCAGCAACATCACAGCAAGGATCAATACTTCCAATGTGCCTCGGATGCCCTGAGCCAGATTTATCATCAAAAAGCAGGGCTGTTTGAGATGAAAACAATACTGTATTTAATCCCAAATATTGCATTATAGAAAAGTCTTAGACTATTATAGTGTGATCACAACATATAATCACACAAAATACTGTGTGGTTTATGCCTTTTGTGAGTTAAAAATGCTATTTACTGCCAGCAAACTATGTTGGCTTTTCTACAGTTCAGCATCTAAAAGCTCTTTAGATGTACAGAATGAGATCCCTACATATTCCACACAAGACTTCTTACAATTAGTCTGCAGTCTAGAAAACAAGTTTTCCCATTACTTTCATAAGTCATACATTCAGTTTCTGACTTTACAGTGTTACACAAACACATCGAGGCATTATCTCCAACAGTTTAAAAGGTGTTCACATTAGCATGTTTCTCATTAGGCTGAAATTCTTCCTCAGTTAAAAACTTCTACTTACTGTGTTGGTTCATTAGCATCCGGATGGAAATGCGGCTCATGTAAAAACGATCCAAAAAATACTGAATGTTTTGATTGGTGACAGGATCTACTTTAAAAGTATCTTTGTATTCAATTACTCCTTCTGCCATCGTAGGAACCACATCATGATGTCTGTTTCGGACTCTAATTAATGTATCTATAAATCTAGGTTAAAAAAGAGATCTTGTTAGAACATTTTTTAAGACTACATGGAGGCAACCTTTGCACAATGTCATTATCTAATCCAGCAGCACAGATGAGTGCGTAACAACCTTAATACTAAAAAGTCTATTTTTTCCATTCTTTTGAAAGTAATTCCTCACTGACCTAAAACAGAGGAGGTTGATATTTTCCATATAAAAGGTATAATCATTAGCGATGTCAAATTCACTGCCTCTTTACTTATTCATAAAAGACCGAGCAGAGGAGAATGAGAGGAAGGGAAAAAGACCCCTAGCTGAAATCTTGGAAAGAAGCAGGGACGTGACAGCACAGGTATGTTAATATTTTTCTGTCATGACAGTTCAAGGGGCGGTATGCACTTGAAACCAAGCTGCAACGGGTCATATTTATTTGCAATATTGCTGAATATGATCAGAGATTTAAACCAGCTTGCACTATACATAGCACTTCATGCTAGATTCAGCTCATGACAGCCATCTCTGGAAACCAACCACACTGTGAAAAACGGAATGCGAGATCAAAAGCTCAATGAAACAAGTGAAAAGCTTACTCGGATAAGACTTTTTGGTCATCTGGGCTTTTCTGATGGAACTCAACCAGCTCCATTAAGCTTTGGATGTACCTGTTGAAAAAAAACACAAGAAATATATGCTATCATCTGATATTTATTAGTCTAGGAACAGGAAGAACACTGTATTGTCCAAATCACTACTTGTTAACAAGTCAGCTAGAAGTTTGAAGTATCAAAGCTCCATCCAAGTACAGAATCACAGGTGGACACTTCTTGACTGACTGAACCATAGTAGTTTTAAAAGTCTTTTCTTGTGCCTGCCACCCAGAAAGGAATCCAAACCCTCACTTCAGGTACACAGGGTGTCCTTACAACTCTTGAGAGGCACTTGAAGATTCAAATGACAATACTGATCAGGAAGCCACCTAAGCAATATTTTTTCCAAATCTAATCAGCTTTGGCACAAGCTAAATACTTGAGCCTCTTCTGCTAGCATCTGACAGCCTTGACGCATATTACAAATGCACAACCATTTGCTAGATTAAGTACGGTTTCTGGATCTCACTCTAATACTTTTGCCCTTTATGTCAGCCATCCTTGAAAAAGCTGCAGTAAAGCAAGATTGAATCTGATTTAACCACACAGATTATGTTAACTGAATTCCAAGCACTCAGTGCACAGGCTGACAATCTGCTACAGAATGGGAAGCTCTGTTAGTAATTCCATCAGTGATAGACCCAAACAAGTCTATAGCCTCCTCTTCCATTTTTGTGTAGCTCTGAGGGTCTATATTGCCACACGAAAACAGAACACATTTTCTTCTCTCCCTTTTTAAAAAGAAAAAAGTGAGATTTCCTCTACCAGCTATTTCAATCTGTTGGTTAAAATAAAAATACTATTTAAAAATAACAATATAACCATGCTGTTTTTCAATTTAATTTTAGTATGCTAGAAAAGCACAGTTGCATACAGCTTGCAGTTCAGCTTTGATGAAGGAACTGGCATTTCTAGTGCATTTTGTTGTTGTCTTCTATTATTCAAAAAAGCCTGTGACAACCCAGTTTTAAAAGCAATGTTATTTTACAGGCTGAATTCAAGTAGTTCTTACTTACCAGCTTTTTACTAACTGTACTGATGGAGTGCCTAGCAGTCTGTCAGGAAGCAGATCAATTTCTTTCAGTATGTTTGCAAACCTCACAGGAAGTTCTTGTCGCAAAAATGCAAAAGAAGTTCTCTCACAGCCATTAGCTGAGCCTATGAATAAGCAAAAAATAAAAATTCTGTGAAAGAAGTTTCGGTATACAATTCACTGTCTCTCCACGGACTTCAGGACTATATTCCTTTGCAACCCTCATGCTGTTCCTGGCCATTCTCCTAAGCCTACGCCTATGTTTGTGCCGAATGCGGTTCACATGACAGCGAGACACAGCACGTTCCTGGGAGGAACACTCGTGCATTTCCCATTTAGACGCGGGACTTCTTCATAACCCTCTCAGCAGCAGCGCTCCCGCCTTCGTAAACACGGGCTTCTCCGCGCTGACGTCTGGAAGGCGTCGGGAGGCGGCCGTGTGAGCGCAGACCCGACGGCTGCCAAACCGGTAATCGGATCTGGGTACAGCTTGTTCGCTCCGCCGGGACAACACGACCGACTCCTCCCGGCAACGTGCGCCGCGGAACACGGGAACACCCCTGAGCTCATTTAACCCTTACCCCCTCCATCCCA